GGTTGGGCGGAGCACATCTTTTGTTTTGGAAATTTTACTTCCAAGAACTTAACCTAAGAAAATCATACCATAAAGCAATGTTGTCTACAATGGACAAAAATTGCTTACTACCTAAAGGAACATTTCAGTATAATTATGCAACATCCAAATAAACACACACTGCAGGGTTAAAAGTCGGGAACCACAGATGCCAGACTACAAATGACAGGAAGGAGAGGGGACTCGGTGCTCTTCACCCACGTTAACACCGTCTTCCAAATAGGTTTCCCTACACTTCCAGTTGAACCTTTTTTCTCTGTGCCAAGTTTTTAAAAGAGCAAAGCTCAGCGCTTTGGAGGCAGCTTTGAAAATAAAGGTGAACCATAGGGTGATAGAGCACATACACGATAGCGACAAGGATATAAAAAGTCTAGACAAAGTGTTCTGACAAGATGCCAACATGTTGTTAAGAACCCAAAGGGCAGGCATGACTGACAGTTCAGTACAACTTACTACTTTCATTTTACTTATGACCTGACCCAGAGTTTCTCAGCTGGGCACACTGACATTCGAGGTCAATTCTCTGCTGTGGGGGATCCCCCTACGTGGCATGCGACACTCGGCAGCACTCAGGCCTTGGCCACCGCCTGCAGTCGCTCGCTTGCCGTCTCCTGCGGCCCGGCCCACGTCTCCTGGGGTAAGTTCACCCTTGTTGGGAACCACCGATGCGGCCTTACACTTATATGCCTGTATGGACAATATCCCCTTCCATTTCATTCTCCAAAAAAAAAAAAAAAAAAGGTACAAAACAAAAAACAGCTCTTGGCTTCAGGGAGCTTACAATCTAAAGGAAAAAACCCCAAAGTCAAGGAGTTTTAAAATTTTACTGCAATATCCTGTATATAAGGAGGGCTTCAAAATTATAGATTTTGGCAGTTTTGTCCACCAGAGCTACCCTCCCTCCCCCTTAACTTACAAACATAATGTTATATACATCTTAAACGGTACAGATGCCTCAAAAAAGAGACTCACACTGTGCTCTTCAGTCAGCCGCCAGGTACTTAGGGACAAATGGTTTCCCTTCATTTGGAGCGAAAATGGCTGGGTCCAAATCCTTGCTATACCACTCACCAGGTTTTGGAGTGTTGACCAAGTTACTTAATTTCCTTACACCCTAGTCCCCTCAACTTTTAAATGGAAATAGTACTATCAATCTAACTTATAGGAACAAAATGAGTATACAGAAGTGCTGAAAATAGTGTTTAGTGCATAGTAAATGCTCAATAAATGCCAGTTGTTATTTTAATTACAAGCCTATAAAAGCAGGCACTATTGTCACCAATTTGTAGATGAAGAAACAGAAGCATAAGAGATCGAGACACTTGCTCTGGCCAGGTAGCTCAGGTGGTTAGAGCATCGTACCGATACACCAAGCTTGCAGGTTCAATCCCTGGTCAGGGCACATACAAGAATCAACCAATGATGCATAAACAAGTGGAACAACAATCAGCCTTTTTCTCCTTTCCTCTCTAAAATCAATAAATAAAAACGGAAGAGATCAAGAAACTCATCCACAGTCACAAACCCATAAGGTTATAGAGCAATGATTCAAAAACTGTCTTGACTCCAGAGCCCATAATTTTTCCATTACATCAATAAAATTATTAAGATTTATTAACTATCAAAAATAAAATATCAGCCCTGGCTGGTGTGGCTCAGTGGACTGAGTGCCGGCTGGCGAACCGAAGGGTCACTGGTTGGATTCCCAGTCAGGGCACATGTCCAGGTTGGTGCCCAGGTTCCCAGTAGGGGGCGTACGAGAGGCAATCAGTTGATGTTTCTCTCACATCAATGTTTTTCTCCCTCTCTTTCTCCCTTCCTCCCCTCCCTCTAAAAATAAATAAAATCTTAAAAATAACCCAAAACACTCCTTTCAGAGTTGGGAAGAAGTCAGAGCAGAGACAGAATGGCCAGGACCAGGAAATCAGAATTGGGAGAGACCCAGAAACTTTAGCTCAACTCTGTGGTTTCACCAATGACACTGGGAGACAGAGAACTTGGTAAAATCTCCTCTAATATCTCTCAGACTCTACGAACAATTGGACTGCTTCGGCCCTTTTAGTCTTTTTGCTCTTCAGATGACTCATTTGGATTTTTACCCTTTTTTCCTGCCCTTGTAATTCAGTTGCCTCTCTCAGTACAATCCTTATCAAAGCTGTCCACCACGTTCATTCTGAGTAAACAGTTCAAACAATTCCACCCCCAATCACTCCAGGAAAGGGGAAGAAGAGGCTGAGATCACGCCTATTCAGGACCAAAAGTTCACCGATCTCCACGTTTCTTTTACTCACCTCCTATAAATAACCGGTATCACCTACTTCCTCCACACCAGATTCTCCTTCCTGTTCACCAAAGGGAGAAAGCAAGCCTCCCTGCAGCATTCACGTTCAGAAACTGCGGGTTTCACTCCTCTCTTCGCCACTTTGCTAGGCCCCTTTCCATGAATTCTGGGTGCCGCCCATGCACATCACTCAAAAACCTCCAGTGTCTCCCCACCGTCGACCAGAGGAGGAAACCCCCGTGACGCTCTTCCTTAGCTCTTCTCTTCTCTTCCAGGCTTTTCTCCTGCAACAGCTCTGCCCACACTCTGCCCCAGTCCCACAGAAACCTTCTCCCCTGAACAAGGTCCCTCCGTTGCAACCCTTCCGCCTGGACTATGGACCCCCGCCCTCCCAGCCTCCTCCCCCAACGTTCACTCCAAAAACCACTCGTTGGGAAGCCTTTCCTGAGGTGTGCTTCCTTAAAACTACACAGAGCTTGTTCAAACCCATTTTATGGGAATGATGTACTATTTGTGTATTTCTCACAGTTTGTGCATTTCTCCCATGTGGTCCTTAGCTTTGTTCTTACTCATACTGCTTACTAGCACAGTGCCTTGCACATTCTAAACTCTCACATACGGTTGCCAGACTGAAGATGGCCTTTCCTAGGATTTTTTTTATCCTCACCTGAGGACACCTTTTTTATTGCTTTTAGAGAAAAAAGAAGGGAGAGGGAGAAACATGGATTGTTTGCACCCTGGACGCACCCAGACCAGGGATTGAACCCACAACCTAAGTACACATCCTGACCAGGAATCAAACCCACATCTTTTGGTTACGGGACAACGTTCCGACCAACTGAGCCACACCAGCCAGGGCCCTAAGATTTCTTTTTTTTTTTAATAGATTGGACATCAAGTCACAATTAGACTCAAGCCATTTTACCAGTAAAAAAAATAACTTATTTATGCCTCAAATTAATCAAGTCAAACTCTCTTGTTTCACTTGGCATAAAAAAAAAAAGTGTCCTAATGACAAGGGTCCTCTCATACTTAAATAATTTCTATGAAAGGTCTACTCTAATCCACCTGGTCTCGCCTTCAAGTAACTCAGCCATTAAACAAAACTCTCCTCCACTTATACCACCATAAAAACTAAAATTTACAAGAGCCACAGGTTAACACAAATATTCCTTTGGCTCAGCGTTAACTTGCTAGAGAACAGGGAAAATTCTGTGGTAACTGGGAATTACTGCAGGGTTAAGGACCAAACTGCAAAGTAAACACTGAACAGAAAGAGATTGAACTGGGCTGTGCGAACTCCCCTACAGGACCCCGAAGAGCTTCTCACCGCCACATGGAAATCTCGGACTCTCCCAGATAAGACTCCAGCTCTCGGCCGGCATCGCCATTGCTACTGAAGTCTATCATGACTTTGAAGTTGCTCTAATTCTTGAACGCAAGCAATTCAGTTCACAAAGCTTTTCTAAGTGCATCCTCTATGCCAGGCAGGACATGGGGGCTAAGATATCAATGTTTATAACGAAAGCAAATTATCTCTTAATAAAGTTTTCTGTAGCTAGTGCACACTCTGCATGGCTTTTCCTGCTCCTTTACCTGCTCCCTCCACCAGCCATGGTTCTGTTCAGAGCCCACAGTATTTATTGTACTGGAAAAGTTAAAGAAGTTTCAAAAACGACGACAACAACAAAATCTCCTGCCTCACCAGTCTGATGGGACAAGGAAGAGAGGACTGGAGAAAAAAGCAGCAGTTCCCTCTCTCTTCCCTCCGGGAAACCGCCCATGCAGCATGCTCGCCCTTTCAGGTCCACTACATAAACGACGAGGAGGAACGAACACCTCAGAAACCAGCAGACCTTCCGCCAAAGGGGCACTTGCAGAAAGGCAACTGCATACACAGTTCACGCTGTATTGGTAGAAAGGACTCCCCAGCCTTGAGACACTTCCACACACTCTAGTATAGTATGCTGACATTTATATTAAGCACTTTGATCAAAACCCCACGCAATGACAAAGCTAAAAACGTGTCTCTCACTGGAAGGGTGAATCAGCGGGGCCCCTACTCCACTCAGGAGCCGCCAGCCTCAGGTCTGGACAGTTGAAACCTGGGGAGCAGCCCCGCGACCCCACACGAACCCACACGGACCCCACAGCGGCGAGGACTTCAGTCCCGTGCGCGTTGGTGCTTCATTACGCCCTGGAATTCACCCGGATAGTCTGTTCTTTAGATTTGGTTATGCCTTTTTCACATTCACCCAACTTTCCCCCTCCCTCCTTTTTCACAGAGGAAAAGGCTCAACAGATCCCCTTACTTGAAAAGTGAAGCGTCTGTTCAGATTCTCAAAGTAAATCCCCATCCCTCCAGTTTGGGAGGGAAACCTAATACATACATCGTGTCCCATGGAACCGAAGCCTGGAGCCCTGGAACGGATTCGGGTGTTTCCAAGTTACACTGCGCGGCAGCAACCTGGGAAGAGACCTCCTCGCCCTGGAAAAGCGCCTTCTGAGTCTCCAGCGGAGGAGCACGCGAAGGAGGTCAAGGCTCCCTCCTCCAACCCTGTCCGCCGGCCGGCCGGCCCCAGCCCGTGTGTCTTCCCGTCCCGCGGGCACTCTCGGGGGGCAGCCCTCACACCCAGGGAGCCCCGGCGCCCGGCGCGGCCCCCGGCTCCCGCGGACTCACCAGCACCGTGGTGCAGATGGACCGCAGCTCCGACTCCACTTTCTCCCGGTAGTCCTTGATCAGCTGCAACTTCTTGTCCGAGGTGTCGGTTTTCTGCTCGATGCTCGAGATGACCCTCCAGGCGGACCGGCGGCCCCCGACCACGTTCTTGTAGGCCACCGAGAGCAGGTTGCGCTCCTCGTTGGACAGCTCGGCGCCCTGCTCCGTCACGGCCTTCATGCAGGTGGCCATGTCGTCGTAGCGCTCGGCCTGCTCGGCCAGCTTCGCCTTCTGGATCAGCTCTGTCTTCTCCATGGGGACGGGAGAGCAGCGAGGGCGAGCACCGAGCGGATCGGAGGAGGCGTGCGAAGCTCCGGCTGCGGGCGGCGGCGGCGGGCGCGGGCAGAGAGGCGGGGCGGCGCCGTCAGACAATGCGCCCGCCGCCCCGGCCGCCCGCCGCCGCCGCCCCTTTTGTCTGTCCCCGCACGCGCGCCCCGGTTGAATTTCCCTCCCCCGCCCACGCTCCCCGCGGGCGCCCGGGACGCCGAGGGGTTCAGGCGGAGGCGACCCGAGACGGGAGGAAGAGGAGGAGGAACGGCCGCTCCCGCGCCCGCCCGGCCCGGCCCAACATGGAAGCGGCCGTTGGCCCGCTCCTTCCCGCCGGAGCCGTCCCTAAGGAGAGCGGCGTCGAGGCCGGTAGCTGCCTGGGGCCAGCCTCGCGCCCCTCTGGGGTCCGGCCAGGCCCGAGGAGGGCCAGGGACGACCCTGGAGCTCACCTTCACGTCTCCGCGGCCGCGGCGCGAGTACCACCACTTTGATCCGCTTTGGGCTTTAGCCGAGGACCCTCCCGTCTCAGCCTACCCCGGAGCCGAGGGGCGGGACGCCAGGAGGCGGCCCCCGCTCCCACCACCCAATGACACGCCGAGGTGCCCCTGAACATCCCGCCTCCCGCAGCGCCAGTGGCCAATGAGGCCTGAGCGCGCGGAAGGGGGCAAAGGGGGCGGGGCGGGCGGGGAAGCGGAGGCTAGGAGGGTGGGTCGGCTTGGGCAAGTTCGGTTGGCCGGCAGGCTGCGGCTTTGGCCACGGGGTTTCCTCCAATTAGATCCAGGGTAAAAGGACGTCACTGTTGCCATTGCGATTCTGTTACCGACTCCCCTCATCCTCCCCGCCATCCCGGGCCCGGGTGGGTGCGGCCCGGGAACCCGAGGCTCGCACGACTTCGCTGCGATGGCCGCGGCTCCTGCCGCAGCATTGGTGCAGATGGTACATCGCATCTTTGCACTAATGCAGCTGCGGCTGCACTCGGGCCTGGCGAGGCCCGGGCTACGAGGGTGACAACAGCCGGCTGTTGAGTTGCACAAGCGCCTTTCTTTCCTCTTACCTTCCTATTCGTGACAAAGGTTTGGAGCTCACTACACTGAACCCAGCCTTAAATGACGTTACGATCGGGGCTGCGAATTAGAAAGAATCCCATCCCTATTAATGAAGAATGAGCTACTGGAGAAAGTGGCTTATGGGTGGCTTTTACATGATAAATTCAAGATTTCAGACAGGCACCTAATACTTGAAATTCCCATGTAAAATGCCCCAAAAAGTCCAGGCAGGTCTTTCTGGCAATGCCAGATACCATGATTTTCTGTAAAATGAGAACTGACATTAAAAAATGACAAAAATGAGAAAGGACAAAAAAGAAAAGCAACTGTTTTTATACTTCTTTCTGGCCTTTCCAGATTATTCATCTATGAACACACTACAATTTCTCACATCATTGTCTCTTTGTGTACACACGTTTTATTTTCTGGTATTATTTTCCAGAGGACAACTGAAAAGATCAACTTCTCCTGCTCGATGTTGACTTCTGACTGTCTCCTAGGGACCATCCTTCGCAAGAGAGAAAGACCACCCGGCACCTTTTACTAAGGGTCTTTGCCAGCACTTTCCTTTCTCTCTGACCCAGATGCTCCCCTCCAGCCGCTCGCTTCTCTCCTGACGCTTCCCCAGAGCCTTACTCCAAGGAAGGTGGCTGTCCGGGGTGTCTGGAAAGTGGCGTCTGGGTCACCGTAAGGTGAAAATCTCCATCTGGGCTCACACCGCTATTATTCCAGTTCCAGCACATCCCAGGGAGAACGGATCTCTGAAAGCCAAGGATGCCTACGCCAGTAAAGAACGCCAGATTCTCAGCGGAGAGCCCAGCAGGCCTGGAGCCTCCAGCACGGAAGACCCGGGAGTGCAGACAGATAGCAAGACGTGCTGACTTTCCAGAAACCCACAGTCCCTCCTGGCTGCCCCTCCCTGTCCTGTCTTGTAAAGGTTGCTTTGTGCTTTGAGGGACAGGAGAGGCCTGGGCTGGAAAGGGCCTGTGTGTTACTGCAGAAATGCCTTACTATGCCCTAGCATTCTAATGGAGGGCCCCACTGTTATTTCTGGACTCCCTGGGGCCGGGCCGCAGACACACGAGTGTTTATGGCCATGTGGGCTGGGGTGGAGCTGGACACCAAGAAATCCCATTGGAAAGAATTTGCATGTGGAAGGTCAGATAAAATGCTTTCTGTATGACCAATGAATTTTGAGCTTACCAGAATTAGAGACAGCTCAGGCCGGGGAGAAACGAGTGGAGATAGCTGGGGGCTGGCGACTCCTAAGCCCCCTGTCGGGGACTGAACCTCTGAGACAGGGAGGGAGGGAGGGGGCAAGCACACTAATTCTTTGTCTGAATGTCTGGGCTGTACTACTGCCATCTCCCCAGGTGACCTTGGGCAAGATTGTACTGCTGCTGCTGGTAACTCAGTCTCTAAAATATCTGCTTTCCCTCAAATATCAAATATTTATTGAACACCAACTCATATTGTCAGGATCATCTGGAATCGGGGGTGAAAACCACTTTGAAACAATGGCACATTATGAGACTGTTAAGTATTTCACGTGGGCCCAGAGGGATGAGCTCATATCTGAATTCCTCTGCACCTGAAAGAATGCGGAGAAGACGAGCTCGGGGAAGTCCCTGGGCACAGGAAGAGCTAACGTTCGTGGAGTGATTTCGTGTGTCAAACACCACGGGGAGTCTTTTGCAAGAATGTGTTAACTCATTTGATTTGCCTAATGGCACTGTGAAGTGGGGACTATTATGTCATCTCCGTTTCACAGATGGGGAAACCGCGGTGCAGGCAAGGTGAGGTATCACAGGCAGCGTCACGCAGCTCATGAGTGGCAGAGCCTGGATGTGAGCCTGTGTGCGGGGTCTCCGCACCGAAGCCCATCCACGTAACTGTCCTGCCACATCTGTGCTCAGTGCAGCACGGACGCCCAGAAAGGCTGGACTAGCCTCTGTCCTGTAGGAGTTTCATCCCAGTAAATACGAAACGTGTTGAAAGTACACATCCAATCTGGTGGGAAGAACTCAAGAGAACAGGCAGCTCACAGGAAAAGTACTGAGAAGCTATTGTTTTATTTGTTTGAGGTTCCTGTTATTTTTTTCTAAATTACTTCATGAGAAGAAGCTGCTGGAGCAGGAGGGAGCACTCGGAACTTGAAGCCCGAAGATTCCAAATCCCTGCCCTGCTATGTATTTGCAAGTTGACCTTGGACACCGCAGTCCTCTCTGGACCTCAGGTCCCTAACCTGTATGCTAATCCCGGCCTGTAAGGGGCTGTGCGGCCAGCCGTCACGCAGGAGCAAGCTGGGCCTATCGCAAGAGTTCAGTAAATACCAGTCTCCTCCTCCTTTCCCTCTGCTTGGGGTGCTGGGGAAGGCAGCGAGGGGCCCGGCGTGCGGCAGGGGGCCTGGGAGCCGTTACCACCGTCAGCGAGGGCTTACCTCCTGAGTCGTTGCTGTAATTACTTGGAGTTAATGGTCTGTAGAATGGCCAGCTTCAGTGTGCATCTCAGAATGAATGAGTCCTCCTGGCTGAGTTTGCTCTCATAAATTGTTTCAGTGGTTTATTTGCCCAGAGCACCAGGGCATCCGGGAGGAGCTTCTTGTTCTCCTGCCATATGGCCGACAGTATTTCACTGACAAATGAACGTTGGAAGGGGCCTTTCCCCGCAAATCTCCATATCACCATTCTCAAGACTTCTGTTGAGCACGCAGCTGGAGTTGCCCCATCGTCCGCTCCACCTGGGTGAGATTCTTGGAGCCAGGACAGGCGGGGAGCTCAGGGGAGTGTGGTCAGGAACACCTTCCTGCACACGCCCTGGCTTAGGCCTGGGCCCAGGCCCTTCGCGCAGTTGCCTGCAGTGGGGGAGGTTGATTCTTGCCGCCCTCCAGAGTGCTCTGTCTGTGCTCGCGGTCGCCCCACTCCCGGCCCTGCCCCACTCCCGGCCCAGCCTGCCCATCATTCCCCTGCCCTCAGGGCGTGCTCTCAGGAAAAAGTCAAGTCGAAATCAGCCCAGCATTAAAAAACAGACAAGTCTGCAAGCGATATCTCTTTTGCCACAATTCGCCTTTTGAGAGGACAGAGAGCTCTTCCATTTGAAGACTAAAATTTCCCTGGCAGAATTTCAGGCTCTCTGACCCAGCGTTTGGCCGGCCAGCCTCTTGGAGAAGGCTGCACCGCTCTGTCATCTCTGCGGCACCTGCTGTATGCAGGCCACGGAGGACTCGCTAAAAGTTTGAGTGCTTTAGGAAAGAGGGCAGGGATGAGGATGATGTTGATAAAAAGTGAAATAAAATTTTTCTAATTTTATTACACAGAAAAATGAAACAATATGTCGACATACAAAGGAGAGTAAAAAGACCCAAGAACCTGACTCTGAGAGGTGAGTGCTGGTAGGGTTTCTGTGACCTCCTTCCAGATATGTCTCCTTTCGTTTGGACACATGTAAGGGGTTTTACATGCATGTGATGTCATTCTTCATTTTGTTCAGTGTGATGATTAATTTTACGTGTCAACTTGGCTGGGCCCCAGGGCATCTAGGTATTTGATCGAACATTATTCCGGGTGTTTCTGTGAGGGTGTTTTGGGGAGAGATTAACATTTATGTTGGTGGACTTTGAGGAAGCAAGTGGTCCTCCAAAACGTGGGGGACCACATCCAACCAGCTGAAGGCCAGAAAAGAACAAGAAGACTGGCCTCCCCCCAGCAAGAGAATTCTCTAGCACATGACCTTTGGTGCTGACCTCATCGGTGACTTGAGCTCTTCCTGCGTCTATGACAGCGTCCAGACTCAAATGGAAACATCAGCATACCTGGGTCTGCAGTCCGAAGGCCCACCTTCCACATTTTGATTTACTAACTCCTTATAATATCTATCTATCTATCCATCCATCCATCCGTCCATCCGTCCGTCCATCTCCTACTCTGTTTCTCTAGAGAACCTTGACTAATACTTGAAGTGTATTTTAGGTTTGTTTCATTCAGCAAACGACATGATATCTTTTAATAGCTTTCAGTGTACGCCAACACATCAGTTTCTCCTCACTCCCTCGCCAGGCTGTGAGCTTCCTGGGGGTTAGGGTCTCCTTCTGAACCTTGTGTTCCTAGAGCCCTCTCAACAACGGGTAGGCGTTACGTCCCCACTGTACAGCTGAGTAAGCTGAAGCCCAGGAAGGCTGAACTGGTACCTGTCTACACTGGTGAGCTGAAGAGTTAAGATTCAAAACCAGGTCTGCGATTTCCACCTCCTCCTGCAACCAACAAGACTGGTACCTGCAAGGGAAGATGGAGGCTCTGGGGTTTGCTGGCCAGAATGGTGCTCAGTTACCTGAGGCTGGTGGGGAGCTAAGTTTATACCTGCCAGTGAGTCAGTGCTGATTTTATTTTCATATGAAAGCCTCTGTTTTTACTCTCAGCGTCTCTGCAAGGAGAAGATAGTTCCTCCTCCTTTGTCTGTTCCTTTTAATTCATTAAGTGTCTCCCCTGCTCCCTGGTGG